ATTTGTTCGTAATAGTACCTTACTCTATGTTGAATACTGTGTCAATAAAGTTTGTTTAAATTAATAATAAGTGCGTTAAAGTCTTCTATCCTAAGCCTATTTCAGTACTGCTGCTCATGAAAACTCATGAATCAATAAAAAACAGAATACATTAAAGGAAAAATGCATGTAGGTATGTAAGCACGTGAGGGGGGGGAGTAAGAGCTTTGCTTACTTTTGCTGACAAGGTGGAGGAGGGGGTAAATAATTGTAATAAATCTGCTTACGTAATACTTGAACTGCCCCATAGGATATAACACTCGCCCATTTATTGTCCAGAAGCAGTGGTAGGGATAAAGTAATACGGGGGCATGTAAAAGCGCTTTTTTAAGCCAGCTACTTACAAAAAAATAAATGACATGGTAAAATTTTACTATAATTAGTTTCGTGTCAAATATATAATATGTGTCAAACAAATGACTTCGTCCCACCTGATTTAAAGTGACGGTGAAGTCCAGACGTCTTAGTCTTAGTAGTACGGCGGGCTGTTTTCGCAACTCGACACCCAGTGCCTATTTTGCGTGGGATAAGTCCAGACGTGAAGATAGCTGATACAGCAGTTCTACCTACCACACCAGCCATCCTCACCCTGCCGGCCTGCATGTTGCTTCTTCACGCCTCTTTTAAAGGATCCCAGTTTATAAGAAGGAAAGAACACGGGAGCGCGCAGTGCATTCCATCTACGTATAGTGCGACAAAGAAATTAATCACCAAATTTCTTTGTACGTGTTGGAATTCTGACATATGGTAATTTTTGTCTCTAGTGTTTTAACTGTAGTCAAATTTAACTATGGATGAAACAACGCAGCCTAAGACAGCGTTAGGTTTAAACTAAAGATTTTGCTTGCAGTTTTTTTAAACACGAATGTGGGTTTTCTCGGCCTCGCGTCGTGTGATAATAGTATCACATGATTGCTTTAATACCTAATTATGAACAGTTGCATACTTTATCTACAACCATGATATGAATCCTCTATAAAAGATTCGGAAACCATGAAGCGTTCTAAGAATTTAAAATTCATCAAAAGTTTATAAAGTAGTGAAGCGCGCTACCACGCATCGAGCAGTGAAAATTGTGGCCGTCTGATGAGTAAACTCTTAGCGCGAAATGAATTTAAAAAGCGAAGAAGTGTTATTATGAAAGTTAGTACAACATTATAACTTCCGTTTGGATGTTATAACTTCTTATGGGATGGTAAATCGTTTCGTTACGTAACGCGTTACGGCGCCAGTCTGTTTGTCTTCCCTTCCTCTCACGCATACGGCAGGGGTAAGCAGACTCCTCCTCTCATTCTAACCCGCAGCGCCGCTTCACACGCTTTTATTTTATTATGAATGTTGACAATAAGGTAACTGTTTCAGAATCTTAAATAGAAGTTTTAAAGCATGGGTGTAGATAAAAAAATATTTATTTATTAGGACCACCAGAGAAAGTTACATTAAATCTTATTAGTAAACATACATATTAAATGCAAAATTATATTTAAAGTAACCACATCATGCTTAAGAGACAGTACGAACGCACCGGATTTTAATTGGAAAAAAAACAGAAAGACAAGCTGAAACGTGATATTAATAATGAAATTTATGAACTATAAGTGGCGCCTTTGAAACTATACACAGTAGAAAACGTTGCCACGTTATCCGGCATCACTCTTGACACACAAAACGTACCGTAGCAATTTGGGTCACCATTCACTCATCCCTAGGTTAAGTAGATTAATTGGTGAGCTTGTGAAGAAGGATCATACTATTGATATTTTTCATGATAAAATACCAACTTTAAAAAATAAAATATTTAGAATACTGGGAAAGTAGATACTTAACTGCTTAATATTATTGTTAATAAAATTAGTTTGCCAATAATGGGTCTGGTACGTAAGGGGTTCTCTGAACTTACGACCATATTAGGCAGTGTTCTCCCCTTTTAAATAATTATAGAGCATGATAGACTGTCGTGATTGTTCTGTGATTGGGCAAATATTTGTGTTGTGTAGTAAATTCCGTATGTAGAAAATGTAAAAAGAAAAACTGTTTACTGTAGGCGTATAACCTGTCTATATATAAAACGTCATTGCTTTCGCCTTACAAAAGACTGCAGTTACAGTTATTATTATTCGGTCCCCTTAGCACGAACCAATATCGAATTCGTATCGTTTGCGAGTACGATATGTTATTGTCTAATGTATACTGATTTTTAGTTCTCGTTACGTATGTTATTACGCTGCTGTTCAAGTTTTCATACAAAATTTGACAATGACATTTCGGACTCGCAAACTATTCGAATTCGATAGTGGTTCGTGCTGAGGGTACTGTAGTATTGTGTTCCTGAACAAATGAATGAAGGGATAACATCGTAGATATAAAATTTAGTTAATATAAAGCTACTAGCTGACTCGGCGAACTTCGTACCGCCCAAAAGTAATAATTTGCAATAAATAAAAATTGCGACTATAATTTGAGATTTAAACTATCCTATCTCTCAAGTTGGATCGAACTGCACATGGTGTGCGAATTTTATTATAATCGGTTCAGTGGTTTAGGAGTCCATTGAAGACAAACATTGTGACACGAGATTTATATATATTAAGATGGTGGGCTATGAATGAAGGAGCTCGATGACGCAGTGGTTAGCGCGTTAAGTCTACGATCGTCGGAGTTAAGCAATTTTCGGAATGGCCGGTTATAGATTGGGTGATCAAAAATTCCTTATATCGATGTCGTCCGTGCTTAGGAAGGCACATAAAGCTGTTTGTGTCTGCTGCTGCTGCTGCAATTTTAGCACCCATCAATCCACCGTGGGCAGTCTTGGTAATTCATGGTCCAATCTCCCTATTTCCGTCCATAGGGAAGGCTTGTGCCCCTGCAGTGGGGACATTTGACGACCTCCGTGGCCGAGTGGTTTGTACGCCGGGTTCCAAGGTGTCGCCTACTTTTTATCGATTGGATATTATCTTAGTATACATCGATAGGATATAACACTCGCCCATTTATTGTCCAGAAGCAGTGGTAGGGATAAAGTAATACGGGGGCATGTAAAAGCGCTTTTTTAAGCCAGCTACTTACAAAAAAATAAATGACATGGTAAAATTTTACTATAATTAGTTTCGTGTCAAATACATAATATGTGTCAAACAAATGACTTCGTCCCACCTGATGTAAAGTGACGGTGAAGTCCAGACGTCTTAGTCTTAGTAGTACGGCGGGCTGTTTTCGCAACTCGACACCCAGTGCCTATTTTGCGTGGGATAAGTCCAGACGTGAAGATAGCTGATTCAGCAGTTCTACCTACCACACCAGCCATCCTCACCCTGCCGGCCTGCATGTTGCTTCTTCACGCCTCTTTTAAAGGATCCCAGTTTATAAGAAGGAGAGAACACGGGAGCGCGCAGTGCATTCCATTTACGTATAGTGCGACAAAGACATTAATCACCAAATTTCTTTGTACGTGTTGGAATTCTGACAAATGGTAATTTTTGTCTCTAGTATTTTAACTGTAGTCAAATTTAACTATAGATGAAACAACGCAGCCTTACACAGCGTTAGGTTAAAACTAAAGCTTCTGCTTGCAGTTTTTTTAAACACGAATGTGGGTTTTCTCGGCCTCGCGTCGTGTGATAATAGTATCACATGATTGTTTTAATCCCTAATTATGAACAGTTGCATACTTTATCTACAACCATGATATGAATCCTCCATACAAGATTCGGAAACCATGTAGCGTTCTAAGAATTTAAAATTCATCAAAAGTTTATAAAGTAGTGAAGCGCGCTACCACGCATCGAGCAGTGAAAATTGTGGCCGTCTGATGAGTAAACTCTTAGCGCGAAATGAATTTAAAAAGCGAAGAAGTGTTATTATGAAAGTTAGTACAACATTATAACTTCCGTTTGGATGTTATAACTTCTTATGGGATGGTAAATCGTTTCGTTACGTAACGCGTTACGGCGCCAGTCTGTTTGTCTTCCCTTCCTCTCACGCATACGGCAGGGGTAAGCAGACTCCTCCTCTCATTCTAACCCGCAGCGCCGCTTCACACGCTTTTATTTTATTATGAATGTTGACAATAAGGTAACTGTTTCAGAATCTTAAATAGAAGTTTTAAAGCATGGGTGTAGATAAAACAATATTTATTTATTAGGACCACCAGAGAAAGTTACATTAAATCTTATTAGTAAACATACATATTAAATGCAAAATTATATTTAAAGAAACCACATCATGCTTAAGAGACAGTACGAACGCACCGGATTTTAATTGGAAAACAAACAGAAAGACAAGCTGAAACGTGATATGAATAATGAAATTTATGGACTATAAGTGACGCCTTTGAAACTATACACAGTAGAAAACGTTGCCACGTTATCCGGCATCACTCTTGACACACAAAACGTACCGTAGCAATTTGGGTCACCATTCACTCATCCCTAGGTTAAGTAGATTAATTGGTGAGCTTGTGAAGAAGGATCATACTATTGATATTTTTCATGATAAAATACCAACTTTAAAAAATAAAATATTTAGAATACTGGGAAAGTAGATACTTAACTGCTTAATATTATTGTTAATAAAATTAGTTTGCCAATAATGGGTCTGGTACGTAAGGGGTTCTCTGAACTTACGACCATATTAGGCAGTGTTCTCCCCTTTTAAATAATTATAGAGCATGATAGACTGTCGTGATTGTTCTGTGATTGGGCAAATATTTGTGTTGTGTAGTAAATTCCGTATGTAGAAAATGTAAAAAGAAAAACTGTTTACTGCTTAGCGCATGATGAGGCCATCTTTAATTACAATTATATTATATCCTAATACGTAAGCATATGTGTAAGTTTGTTTGTATTAATATAGCTGTGTTGATGTTCCATAAATAAATAAAATAAATAAATAAAACGAATATATATATATATATATATAATTCTTCGATAATATGATGTGAATAGTCGTTTTGTTTGACGCAGATCGTTCGCCTAGCGGGTCTGGGGGCACAGCTAGATCAGTGTCCGCCGTGGACGCGGCAGCCGCGCAGCGAGCCAGGGCCCGCGCCCTGTACTCTCACATGAGCAGGGCCAAGATGGCCGCCGGCACTGCGAGTCTGCGTGAGTATATAATAATAATAATTTTTATTCATGCCAAAAAAACATACAAGGTACATAAATTCTACAGCTGTTAAATTTACGAGACAAAGTACTGGAATTTATTTTTATTATATTTTTTACATAAGGCAGTAATTCTTAGAATGAAAAAGTACAACTGACCCTAGATAGGCTATAAATATAGCCTGTGTTTAGGGATTCAGACCTATAAGTATACACACCACCAATACACATACAAAATAGACCTTACACTATAGCTATTAACGGGATTGTTACCCATGTACCTTGTTTTTTATACCTATGGGAACCAGTGCGAGTGAATAGTGAGAATGTGACCAGTGGTAGGTAGACTGATATTTCTGCCAATAACATCTGCCCGCAATTTCTTCAGTTACTCCGTGATCATGGCGCTTGCAACAGTGCCGAAATATCGGAGACTCATAAAAAACAAGGTAAATGGTAACAATCCCGTTAATAGCTATAATGTTAGTGACCATGAAAATTTAAAACAATTGACCTTACACATTCAAAACCACACACACACCGAACAGTCACTAGGTTTGAATGACAGATTATAGATATACATAACGCACCTCACATATGAGCAGGGCGAAGATGGCCGCCGGCACTGCGAGTCTGCGTAAGTATATGCTATAGACACACAACAACGGACCGTTGACACAGCACCAATACACATACAAAATGGACCTTACACCTTAGATTAAAACACAAAGGGAAGATACGGCACTCGCTCAAAAGTGATCCGCTTAAATTGTGGTGCATGACCACAATTCGCTTTAGTCACAATTGAACATCCAAACACCATGCAATACTCAATATAAAAACATTGCGTATATTCTGTGTTATAAAGATAAAACAAGGCCTCGATGCTTTTATAAAGAACACAAATAGTTCAAGATCAAAAAACAAATGCTTCGTCAACACATTTCATTCATAATACTATAAAAAAAAAACTCAAAAATCACGGTTTGCCATGAATGTTAGTTACTGATTCGCATTTTTTTTATTAAGAAAAGGACAACAAAACAACTCAGCTATATATAGAGAGAGAAAAGAAAACGCAGTCGGCTGCAAAGCGACACGGACACGCGCCGTTTCGCTCACACTGCGTTAAAGCGTACAATTCTGTCTCGCTCGCTCGATTGAATGTTTATTTACAGAAGTGTGCGTGCGTGAGAGTTGCTTATGTAGTTGAGTCTGATCATATTTTATTTGATGCTAGTATGAGCGTACCGTATCTACCCTTTTTGTTTTAGTCTAACCCTTACACATTCAACACCACACACATACAGAATGGTCACACCTCACACATGAGCAGGGCGAAGATGGCCGCCGGGACTGCGAGCCTGCGTAAGTATTATATAGCTTTTAACGGGATTGTTACCATGTATGTACAAATTATGAGTATCCCATATTTCGGCACTGTTGCAAGCGCCATGATCACGGAGTAATTGCGGGTAGATGTTATTGGCAGATATATCGGTCTACCCTCTGACGTCATCTTTTATTGCGTTCGATGCCCCTACCACTGCTCACATTCTCACTATTCAGTCGCACATGTTCCCGACACACAATACTCACAGTTATCATATCTCGGCACACGACAAAAAACAAGATACATGGTAACTACTATCTGATATATGATACTGCCAGCCACCTTGCGCAAATCACAAAAGATGCATGATTGATTGAAATAAATACACACACGCACACACATTTACTACAATAAATTATAAATATATTTTTTGGATCTGTATGTAATGTTTTATATATAAACAGAACTGATTAAAAAATATTTTGTTGATTTTGTATTATGAACATGATGATTATACTAAATGAAATTATATTATTAACGCCTTACTCAAGAGGGGGAAATGGCACAGCAAGGTATTAAGTTAAGCGTTGTAATGCAAAAGTAGTCCTTACTGCACTTAGTATAAGGCATCTTTGTACCTACAGGTTTAATTTTTTCTCTTGTTTTGTTCACAGCTTATGTTTTAAGTTTTGCTACATAGCTTCTTACTCACCTTTATATTTGGTTAACAGTTTAGAAATGTAAATAGATTCGAGTTCACGTAGATGTTTAAAGACACCAAATCTTTTTCACACAATTAGTTGAGCGATTCACACGTTTATTTTCAGCATGTTATAAATAAAGCTTCCCGCTCATAGGTGCGTTATTATCGGTCAATGAAATCGGATGCGTTATTGCGATATTTCGTCATACTTCTAAATTATTATATCGCAACAGTGTAATTTCGGAGCCGTTTTTTAAGCATCTGCTAGATTTTCTACATTTTTTTTAATTGCTTTTTCTTCTTTCAAATATTTAATACTTGTAAAGGTATTCGTTTGAAACTGTGGGTTACCTACAATGCGAAGAGATGGTGCTGGCTTGCAGCCTAAGAAATGCTAGAGAAAATTCGACACTGCCTTCGGCCGCGGTAGAATAATGGTCAGTGCATTCGTAGCCGTTCTCATACATGCTGTAGTAAAAACAAATATCGGAAAAACGCATCCGATATTGTCGACTAATCAAAATGCGCCTATGGCGGGGATGGGGGGAGGCTAAATACTACCTACTTAATTTAGTTTTTGGCAGACTATGATATTTTATTTCTAATGAATTTTTATATCGTTTCTGGCTATTTGACAAGTTTTTGAACACATTCTTGCAATGCCGTCAAGCAGATGACGTCACACTGATCTTACTAAAACGTCAAACAGTACAAAGTAGTGTCACTTCGACAGCATGTTGACAGCAGGTGACGTCTAGGCTCTAATCAATCCTTAAGGCCTCGGTCGTGTGACATAGATAAAAAATAGTTTTCTATTTTATGATTTTAAGTAATATTATTAACTGCTTTTCTTCTGTTATTATAATAGTGAAACACTCCTAATGTTCATTCTGTCAAATAGCCTATTTATCATACTTTCTAGCAGTGGGGACATTTATAGGTTAATCAAATGTGGTAGCGCTTCAGCTATGTTTGCCGAGGCGCATACAGATGGTTTTGATGCGATTGGGCGTAAAAAGACTGCATCACTATTGGGCACAATACGCGAGACTGGCAACAGTATCTTGAGCATTATTGCTGCCAAATTTGAAAGTCCTCTTGTGTAGAAATTAATCCAGACGACAAAGTCACTTTTAGAAATCAAGTACTATAGTCTGTCGATTATATTATTATCTTTTTGACAGATCGGTCGAAGTAAAAATAGTGACACCTACCACATAACTCGTTCGATTTAAAGCGATAATCGATTTTATGCTAGTACATTGTTTAGTCGATTATAGGTATCGAAATTATTTTAGTTATCAAAAATACTGGTGTTTAATAAATTATTACAAAATCTCATTAGATTTATTGTTTACCTAGTACAAATATTTGTGTGATGAGCACGAGTATTTGTTCTGTGTTTGGGTGTGATTTATCTATAATATGTTTAAATATATAACAAAAAAAGCAGTATACTTTTTATGTTTGTTTATTGATTATATTTAATAATTTCATTTAAAAAAAGGTTTATAAAAAACTATATCTATCGACTTTTTACGTTTAAATATTTTTGATTGTTGGCAACACCATGTTGTGGTGGTGTATTGTGCCGTTTTGAAGTCACTTGTTCACTGATCTTGCGACAGTTCCAACGTAATTCTTCTTTTTGAACATTTTATCAAACGTTAAGTTGAGTAGTCTTTTAGGGACTATCAACCTCCTTTTCATACTTTTTTTATTACGCGTTTAAAGTGACGTTTCATTGAAAAATAATTTTGTTCTTTTTTTCTCTGTCAATAAAATCGTTTGGAAAATTTGCCTACGTATTTTTCTCTCGTGAAATATTTAATTATTTTCATATTGTGTTGATTTGTTATTTTGTATTGAGCAAACCGTTCATCCGTAAGCTCTGAATATGTACTGTACTCACTCTGTAATCATTTATTTCTACCGATTATTTGTAATCTGTGGCATAATCTTAAATCATTATGTGTGGCACATCACTAAGTGGGCGGTACCCATCCATGAAGTACAATGTTATTTGTATGACATTCTAACGTAAACAATATAAAATTTCATGGGCGTCGATCTGTCAAAAAGATAATAATAGAATGGACAAACTATAACAATAATATTAGTATCTAATATTATTGTACTACTACTAACACATTTTGGTTGTTCGCCTGCGATTGGACGTAAAAAGACTGCATCGCTGTTGGGCAGAATACGCAAGGACGGCAACAGCATCTTGAGCGTTATTGCTGCCAAATTAAAGAGTCCTCTTGTATGGAAATAAAATCAGAGAACAAAGTCACTTTTAGAAATCGAGTACTTACATAATATAAGTATCTACTAACACATTTTGGCTAATGTTGTTCTTATTTGAACATTAAATAAATTAATCTATTTATCCGCTTAGCTCGTGCCAAACGTTCCCCCGGGAACGCGGCGGGAGTCCCCCCCAGCCCTGGCCCAGTGAGCCGTTCCAGATCAAGACCTGGAGTTTCACAATCGCAACGTAAGTTTAATGTTGCTATAACGCAACTTTTGTATGATGAACACGTGCATTTGTGACTAAGTCCTGATTTTTTGTGGGATGATTGGGTTTTGTACCTGCAATTTATTTGAGGTAAAAATTTAATTTGTTGTTGATTTTTATTTTGTTCTTATTGCTGAGTTTATAACGTTTTCTTTACAAAATTGTTTATTTTAAAAGCACATTTTTATATCAAAAATAAATACTAATAACGAAACGTAAATATCCCTTCCTCAGTCTCCTGATTAGGCTTTACCCACACTCACAATTAATGAAAATTTATAATAAATTTAAAAACATATTATACTAGCATGATTTGTAGTAATAGGTCAGAATATTGTTATTTGATGTGTTGTTGGCTGTACAGTGTGTCTTTAGAAGTTTAAGAAGAAGCTTAAAGTATTTTTATTTATATTATTTAGCTACATCGCGGTCCTCCTCGCCATCATCAAGAAGCAGCGGGCCAGCGTCGTTAGCGGCTCGAAGAAGGCCATCAGGGATCCCTAGATCATTAGCCGGGTCTAGAGAAACAAGCCCTACCAGGTAACTATATTATAGACCTTAAAATGTTCGCCATAAAGTCTAAAATTCATCGCTTGCATAGTAACGCCGTTGGCGACTCGATGAGGCTCAAGAAAGAAAGTTGCCGGACAAGCGAATAATACTTTTCGCTTTAAAAAGATATTGACTTGTTTCTTAAAACAGTAACGTTCACACATCTAATACAAGAAAAAAAATGAAAAAATAAAAACTAACTTTTCCTGCCACTGGGCTTCATAAAATTAATAATTCGTTTAAACAATAAAGTCTCTTTGTTCGCTTATACAATAAAGTCCCTAGCAATATCCAAGAGTTAGTCATAAATAAATTCTAAAATGCTATAAAAAGAATTAATAAAAGCTTCTTTCAAAGTCTATGGTTTTATAACTGACAAAAATGCTTGTGTGTGAACTGTTGCAATCATTCTAATAGGTTTTTTTTATGAAATAAATCATGTTTGTATAATGATTTGTAAATGTTGTGGAGTTCTGTGCCCCACGATTTTTCCGCGAAAAAAAATGTCCAATAACGAGTGGTAGGGGAAAATAATGTGGATAATTTAAAAGAGCTATACTGACATCCAATTTGAATAAAGAAAAAAATGTCTTTATTTGTTGCCTAACAAATAAAGACATTTTTTTCTTTACTGTCCCCTGGTACTACGCCACATATTTCACATTTATATGTCTAGAAATAACTCCCGCAGTCAGGTACGTCACGATGAAGACAGCACATCACTTAAAATTCAAAAACCATTAAAATTCAAACGAAGTCTCTGATGGGTTCAGTAGTAAGTCTTGGTTTTTAAAATGTGATGGCACAAGAGTTGTGACTCCTCCTACCCGTTTTTATACAATGTCACTTTGGGTGCCACCCCCCCTCGCATTAACGTGTGACTTCACGTGTGTGTGTAATTTATGGATGGTCTCTGAGGGACATTTTGTGTCATTGGTCGTCAGCAAACATCTTGAGCATAAACCATAGTATATAATGAAATAAGTTAAACTAATAAGAATTTATTAATAAGCAGTATTTATTTGAAGACCTCCGTGGCCGAGTGGTTTGTACGACGGGTTTCATGGTCTCGAGAGGTCCCGGGTTCGAATCCCGGTGGGGCCAGATGTTTGTGTGATGAATACGAGCAATTGTACTCCAGTCATGGATGTTACATATGTATTTCTAAATAAATATACAGTATATGTATTCTATCCGTTACCCTAGCATCACATAACACAAGCCTTACAGTGCTTACTTTGGGGCTAGGCTAATTGGTTTGAGCGATGGAAATATTATTTATTTATTTAACGGACGGTTACAACACAAGAGAGTGATGTTACAAGCAATTTGAAATTCAAAAGAACGCGTAGGGCACGAAGACAATAATACGGAGATACGTTTTGGTTTGTGTTTGTATTCCAACAGTATATAACGAGGCCTGCGCTGTACCAATTTTGTATCCAAAAACTTTTTATGCGCAGACTTGTCCATGGGTTTCCTCAATTTGTTGTACAATAATAATTAATTTATTTGCTTTCTGCTTGTTTGTCTATGGTTTTAGTTAATATGTTTGCCGTAACCCATAAAAAGTCCTATTTTTACTCTTTCTCCATACAGAACCGGAAGATCGAACAGTGTAGTCGGCTCAGCCATAAGGCGACGAGAATCTATGGAAAGAACAGCACCATCCAGAGCTCCAACTGCCACATTACGATTGCTTCAACAAACCAGAGATGCGGAGAGTGTGCTCAGAGTAAGCTAGTATAGACCTTATTCCTTCGTATTATTATATGAAATGGCGCTAGCCATATTATAATATTATTAAGCCCTTGAATCTATGGAGAAGAGAAGCTCGATGGCGCAAGTGGTTAGCGCGTTCGGCTGCGATCCTTGAAGTTGAGCAACTTTCGCAGTGTCGGTCATTGCATGGGTGACCAAAAATTTACTACCTCGGGCTCCTCCGTGCTTCGGAAGGCACGTTAAGCCGTTGGTCCCGGCTGCGTCTGCAGTCATTATCACCCACCACTCCGCACTGGGCCCGCGTGGTCAAGGCCCAATCTCCCTATTCCATCCATAGGGAAGGCCTGTGCCCCAGCAGTGGGGACATTAACAGTCTGATGATGAATCTATGGAAAGAACCGCCCCTTCAGGAGCGCCCACTCCCAAATTACGATTGCTTTAACAAACGGGACGTTGAGAAAATGTTCAGGGTGAGCTAATGTCGACCTTATTCTCTCGTATTATGGTATGTAATACCTTTGAATCTATGGAAAATGTAGCCCCTTCAAGGGAATGCAATTCCACATTAAAATTGCTTCAACAAACTATATAGGGACGCGGAGAGTGTACTCAGGATGAGTTAATTTTAGCTTATTACCCATAAATACAAATTTATTTATTCAGTTTAGGCAATCTACGTTGCTAATCTTAGACTTTGTAATGAGAAGAACCTTACCGGTTCTTCTCATCTCGATTACGTCAAGGGCTGCTGTTTTAAAAAAAAAACACGTATAGTTCAAGATGAAATAACAAATTAAACGGCACCACTTTTCATTCGTAAAACTATAAAAACATGTTTTTCTTAAAAATCATGGTTTGTCGTGATTTATTTACTTATTCGCCATTTGTGATCTGGAAAAAGGACAACAATACAGGTCAGCCGTTTGTAGAGAGAGAAGAGTTAGTACTCTTAGCACGAACCAATATCGAATTCGAATAGTTTGCGAGTGTGATATGTCAATGTAACATTTTGCATGGAATCTTGAACAGCAGCGCCACAAAGTACGTAACGAGAACCAAAAATCAGTACACATTTGACAATGACATTTCGTACTCGCAAACGATACGAATTCGATATTGGTTCGTGCTTAGGGTACAGAAAACGCAGTCGGTTGCCAAGCGACGCGAACTCGCAGTGTCGCTCGCGCTGCGTTGAAGCGTACGCTCGCTCTATTGAATATTTTTTTACCAGAGAACTGTGCGTGCATGTGAATAATTTATTTGATGCTAGTATGAGCGTACCGTATCTCCCCTCTATGTTTTACTCTAAAGTCACGGCCTAATCTCCCTATTCGATCCTGTATAGCAAGCCTATTATAGGGAAGGCTTATTTAGTTGGCTTAGCCATGGAGGTTAGAGAGAAGAACGATCGCTACGTACTAAAGCATTAGCCCGCCTGACCCTGAAAATTTGTAGAATTTGTAGTTCATTTTTCAGCCACCACCCCGGCGCTGCCGTCGGTAAGTAGTATCTGTGAAGTTAGCTGTTTATGAGTACAAGTAGATGAAGTTAGTTGAATATTGTACAAATTTTCTTCGCGGCATTGGTCATTTCAAATTAGCCCGCTTATATTGAGAAAACTTAGCGATCGCAACGCCTCCCTTATTTTGTCCATATTTCAGGGACACTATTTTCTACAGCGATCGTTCTCCTTATCTCTAACCTCCATGATCTTAGCAGTGGGGACATTAATAGGCCTATGTTTTTTTTTATTTTATGTTATAGGTGGCATCCGAGCAGACGGCTCACCTGATGGTAAGTGATCACCGTCGCCCATGGACACTTGCAACACCAGGAGTATCACAAATGCGATGCCGGCCTTTAAGGAAGGAGTACGCTCTTTTTTTGAAGGTTTTTGGGTCGTATTGGTCCGGAAACACTGCTGGCGACAATATATTCCACAGTTTTGTCATATTGACTGATATTGACTGTATTGTAGAGCCCGGAAGACAGTTCGGCGTGCGACGGCGGCAGAGGCAGAGACGACGACTCCGAAGCGTCCAGCGTTTGTTCCGAGAGGAGTCTCGATTCGTACAGAAGACATGACGTAAGTTGATATAGTTTATTATTTTTTACTTACATTATTTCTTTATTTGTGGTATTGTTAACCGTGATTTTGTAATTTATTGCTTTTTATTCACATCAACCTTAGGCCCTAAAAAAAGGTTCATTGTAACAGCTTTAAGACTTCGTACTGGACATATCCATCCAGGAAATATGGTTTCCTCATGAAAAAATTAGACTCTCCTAATTGTGAAATTTGTGGTACAGTCGATGACGTTCAGCACATGCTTGTAGAGTGTACTAAGTATAACAATAAGACAATGTCATTATTGCAAAAACATAATATAAACGTGTTCGGTGTAGGTATATTCGCAACAATTTTGGCAGATTCGCAGTCGGAAATATTCAAAAGCCTTATATATATATTTTGCAACAATGAGTCGTCGTAGTTTTATATTCATTTTGTAATTTATAATGTTAGGATATGATGGGGCTGGCATATCTTTATAAGGTGTAAAAGCCTCTAAATAAAGAAGATTATAAAAAAAAAGAAAAAAACCTTAGGCCCTGCCAGAATATCACCGCCGCTGCGGCCTTGGTGTCGTTGTGGCATTGTGCTGAGGCAGGGACCTAGTTGACCTTATTCTGTGTTTTTATTTATGCTTTTTTTTTCTATTGTTGAATGTTATTGGTCAATAAATTATTTCATTCTTTCTTTCTTTATCTATGTGTTTAAATTCAATAAATTTAATATCCTTGCAACCTAAGAAATACAAGTATAGTAAAAAAAAAATAGCAATTATAGTAATTATATTTTTAAGCATATAACTGCTAGATGTTGAAATCTAAAGAAAAAATTACTATTTTAAAAATTCGACACGGACAATAGGGCCGCGGTAGCTTAATGGTCGGTACATCCGCCCGGATAGCAAAGGGTGCTGGTTCGAGTCTCTGCTGCCGGGTCCAATTAGACTTGTTAAGGTTTCATAATTGCAGCAATAGTGAGATAACGTGGAGACATTTTTCAAAAGAAAAAAAATTAAAATAGTTTTTTTTTCAAATTTAATCTAAATCGTTGTCTGAGGGGTTGGTAAACTTTCTAAGGTAACTGAAAATTCACGGTGTATATTAAAAGCTGTGAAGTTTTTCTTATAGCTGAAAAAATAATCTCCAGCTTAGGGGAAAAAAATCTTCGGAAGGCACGTTAAGCCGTTGATTCCGACTGCAGCTGCAGTCGTAAGCACTCACCATATCTTGCGTTGTTATGAATCTCAACATGTCCCTTAGCACGAACCAATATCGAATTCGAATAGTTAAATGAGAATCCTAAAAGATTTTAGTTGAGAATGCAGATTGATAGAGTTAAGGATTCCATAAAATACAGTGATAAAAAATTTGATCTACGATAAATATTAACGAAGATATGAATGACCAAATTTATTACTAAACGAATTTTGGGCTGCGTGAATATTGGCTACTATAAAATCTAAACATATAAATAAAATTGGAGCGTCTGTTTGTAATATTGAAATAACCGCTTTTTACTGCATGCATATAAATATACACGGTACATACACCAAAATAACATTTTTTACAATTTTAGTCTGCCTGTTTGTTCCGGCTAATCTCTTAAATGGCTGGAATCTCGATTTTGATGGGAGTTTTATTGGCAGGTAGCTGATGTAATAAGGAGTATAAGTTACTCCTACTTTTATTTTAGTTTTTTTTATTATATATTTTATTGGCCGCAATGAACCGATTTCGATGATTTAAAAAGTATAGTATTTAAAAAGCTTATTAGAACATTATACTGTTGATTTTGAGTTGATATGCTGACCTAGTAATGATCCTCATTAGATCTCAATACGCGTCAAATGTCAAGAAGATTTGTATGGAAGATTTTCAATTCTTGTTACGTCCGTTGCATGTCGCGCTGTTCAAATTTTCTTACAAACATTCGATATTGGTTTGTCAACAAAATGTAACATGCTTTTATTTAAAGAAAAACATGTCCGAAGTGATAACTTAAACTAATCTAAGCGGCCCTGCGGGTTGGAGTGAGAGATGAGGACCCTGCCTGCTTACCTCAGCAGTATGCGTGAGGGGAAGGGAACCTAGGCAGACTGGCACCGTAACGCGTTACGTAACGAAGCTGTTTACCCTCCCATAAGAAGATATCACTTCAAAAAATGGGATATAATGCTTAGGGTACCGTTCTGCCTATTCCATCCATAGGAAAGGAATGTTTGTATGTCGAATACTAGCATTTGTACTGCAGTCTGGTGTTTAATATGTATTTCTATTAAAAATGTACTTATGTATGTACAATATAATATGTATTTTATCCGTTACCCTAGTATCCCATAACACAAGCGTTACCGTGCTTACTTTGGGGCTAGGCTAATTTGTATGGTGTGTTGTAAAAGAAAAATTGTGAGGCCTGTGCCCCAGCAGTGGGGACATTATGATGATTTGATTGGTTCGTACAGAGTGTATCGTGGACCGGATCCGGAAGGCTGGGGTGGGAGTGTTCTCCCCCACCCCCGCCTCCCCCTGACGACATCATAGCACTATGCGCCTGCACCCATTGGACGGAGAGGAAAGATGGCCTCACCCATTTGGTGAGTACTAGATATAAGTATACTATTCGTTATTTGAGGAGATTAGAAACAGAAAGTGTCATTTACAGTTTTTAATTTTTTGAATAAATTGAGAAAAAAAAATCAAGTTGATCTAAGCAATTTTTATTATTTTTTATTAATTCATGTGTAAATTATTGTTATCTTGCTGGTTTTGAAACTTGTATAAAAAGAATGAAATACATGTCACCCTTTGATCCAATAGCATGCAAATGTCACTATTTGATCCAAATATTTTGTAAAATGTCACCTTTTGAAACAAACTGTCTAAAAAATGTTGCCTTATCAAACATTCACTATGAAAATAAAAAATAGATTCACACAAAACATTTTGATTTCTTGTACGGTCGCGGTCGGCAAATGTTTTCCACCTTAAGGATCATAATTGCATGCACACATTTAGGTCACAGGTTCTAAATGTTTATTTCATAATAATTTGATTGACCATAGATTATCTTTTTTCTAATGATATGACAATCAATCGCTCTAGGAGATGGACTGACTACAATAAAGGTTTGATATATGTTTTTTTAAATACTTCGCCGCACACTTAGTTTTCCTCTAGCTCAACAGATGGCGTTAGAAAGACACAAAACTTTAATTAGATACATTGTTTTTAAAGCAATGATTTACAAGATTTTACGCCGTGACGTCGGATCCTAAACCTCACAGTGAATCGCGATATATTGAGTTCTTGTGATATATCACTAATACTTGTCCATTTTCGAAGAGAAATATTATTTCAACCCTTTCTCCAGGGTCAAACTTGCCATTTTATTTCGTTATGAAATTTTCTTTTCGTAAAATTTTGCTCTTGACCAAACAATGTTCAAACATTTTTTTTTTACAAATGTCATTCATTTTGCATACTAACTTTTGAAAGCTTATAAGTTACTTGATATGGCATTTTAGACTTTAGTGAAAAAAGTGTGATATAGAATCTAATTTCAAAACTGGTAAACATTTTCTGACCGCGACCGCACATATAATTCTTAACAATCTAGTTCCTAGTTTGAGCCGACTAAGGACTTCAAACGTATTTGTTAAGAATTTGTCACTTTTTGAATTCAAGTATTAATAATCACTGTGATTGAATAAAAATGTAACTTTTTATTTTGGAAGGCCGCAGTTCACATCGATTTTACTATGGAACTACTGAGTTTTTGAACAAAATCTTGGGAGTTACAGATGCATTTAACATTTTGAGCCGAATAACATAAAAAAACGACGGCTTACACTCCGGTAGTGCCGACAGAAGTAAACAGAACAGAAAACTTGAATATTAACGTTGTGCATTTTTGATATTTTGGAATGGTTAGGGAATAATTTTGCACGAATTGCTTTAAATATCAGTATAAAAGTACTATCATGTATGTGATAGAATACAATATTTATTTATTGCGCTATCGTACACAATCATGACAATTTATATTACATTAAAAAAGTTTATCTCTCAGAAAAATCAACTTACGTGAATCACGTTTAAGCGCACTTAGCGACATCTATTGTAAAGAAATCACCTTACATGAATCACATTTAAGCGCACATAGCGACATCAATTGTAAAAAAAATGCATTTTCTTCGCAATAAAGCTACCACGTGGGTCCTAGATAGAGACTTATTATTATAATACGATAAAATAAAATATTACTATGTTTCGTCCAATATAGTGAAAGTCAACATTACCTTTCGAATTTTTAAACGCGAGTGTAACATTTTTTACCCATACAAAAAAAAAATGTACAACAGGACAGACTTTATATTCCTTTTAAAACATGAGAAGGACAGACTGATGTCAAGTTTACAAGTGAGGAGCTGGCGAACAAAACGGTATAATTACATAAATAGGGTATTTGACAGTATTAAAAATAAAGTGCCAAATGTTAGCATCTGTGTTTACAATAAATATTGACAGAGGTTTTTCCTATTTTTACAAAAAAAATATTCATAATTTTACTAAAAACCCACGAAAAAGATAATAGTTTTCTTATCTATTGTCACGTGACCCAAAACGCTTGGGATTGGCGGAGCCTATAATGACATCACACGCAAGTAAACTTCCGGTTAAAGTGACATTACATTGTCTCGTTTGACGTTTTAATAACAGTCGTGTGACGTCACACACTAGTAAGACGCCATATTGTCCAGAGAAACGTTTTTACGGCAACTTGAAAATGGAGTTTTTGATTTGGTTATTTTTACTGAAATACACAACAGAATGATGAATATCCACTTTTTACGGACTCCATAAACATTAAGTCAATAACGTGAGATCGTTTTCTAAAACTTGTCAACTACCCTATTTTAAAACTGTTTTCGGCGGTTTTGATTGAAAATTATTTGAGATTCAAATTCAACGGGCCCGAAACCTCCGGACTGTAAAAATAAATTTGTTTGACCAGATGCGTATTATACCGTTTTGTTCCTGAAATAGCATACACAAATAGCCAAGTGAAGTGCCTTCATCATAATATTCGCTTTTTATGACTAATTTGTGATTCATTTTGTATTTCTTTTACAGGCCAACTACTTAAACAGCGGTCGTCTTCTCAACGAAGACCAGTTGCGACGTCTCACCGAACTGCTGAACAAAATGTTCGTCGACGCTCACACCAAAGTTTTTTCGTTACTCCTGGACGCTGTCTGCGAACTGTTATTGGTGCATTGGCAGCAGTTGAAGGATTGGTTGTATCAGCTTATGTTCAGGTCAGTGGAATTAGGTATTTTTTTTTATTATTAAATCTTTTCATCAGTACTGAAGTTTTTGTTATTTCCTACAATATATATTTTGTGTAGATGAGTGATTACTATTTTTTTTTGCAGATTACTCATGAAACTAGGCACCGACATTTTAGGTTCGGTGCAGAGCAAAATAATGAAAACATTGGACGTTATACACGAGTGTTTCCCTGCTGAATTGCAACTACACAACATATTCAGGTAATGACTATACATAAACACATAGTAGTCAACCGCTTCGTTTGCGTGCGTTTTAGACCTGTGGCGGCGACATCTACATGCCCCACATATAAAAAAGCGTAAAATCCGACTCTGTAAATCTATATATATATAAAACTCAAAGGTGACTGACTGACTGACATATTGATCTATCAACGCACAGCCCAAACTACTGGACGGATCGGGCTTAAATTTGGCATGCAGGTAGATGTTATGACGTAGGCATCCGCTAAGAAAGGATTTTTAAAATTCTACCGCCAAGGGGATAAAATAGGGAATGAAAGTTTGTATGAAACTTTGTCAGTTTTAAACCGATCGGGCTGAGACATTGCATGCAGGTATAAGAAGAATCATAGATGAATGTTATTGTGTATAATACAAGCCTGAGAACAAAAACTGTAGTCTACACTTCAGCTCTACGCCGAAGCGAAGCGAGGGCGGGCCGCTAGTATAAAGTTTTTTATTTCGGAGACTATGTAAGTTTTGGGCAAGCTCTTTATTAGGGTTCCGTATTTCAAAAGGAAAAAACGGAACCCTTATAGGATCACCTTGTTGTCCGTCCGCCCGTTTCTGAGAAAAACTGTCTTGACAGACGGACTGTCAAGACAGTTTTTCTCAGAAACGCGTGGAGGTATCAAACTGAAATTCATATCTAATACTCAGGTCTACGGTCCCTTAGAGCTGTGAAAAAATCAAACTTCTAAGCCAAAGCAATCAAAATATTCGGAATTCGCACGGGAAACAAAACCTACAGGGTACTTCCTGTGAACTAAGAATCTTGAAATTTTGTATGAAGTAACGTCTTATTAAAGGAAAAATTGCGAAAACCGTAAATTTTTAGTTACATCATATAATAAAAAATATTTTTGAAAATTCACGTTTGTACGGAACCCTCGATACGCACTTGGCCGTTTTTTTTTCTTTAGTCAGAAGAATCGGCATCTGAATAAATAAAAAAATAATATAAAAAATATGACATTGTGGTCATTATTTTAAGAAATAAGTAATTTTAGCCATTTAAAACTATGAATTATAATAATACATACAGTTTTCTACAGTTAAATTCAATCTATGCATATTCAAATGTCCTGTGTTAATTTTCGAAAATGAAATTTTATTTTCAAAAATGTTGCCTAATCTTGTACTGGCTAAAATGACCTCGACTTTGTTTATATTTTGTGTCGCTTCTTATTGGCCGTAATTAGATGTGATTACAATTCACCCAGGTTTCTTGCTGACGGGGCGACTGCACCCACAACTAAAACGAAAGTGGCGGCGCTTAGATTCTTGGCTGATTTGGCTCACGACTACTGCACTCCTAACAGCCTATGCGTCGCGTTACATGGTGAGTTATGTATTTGATTAGAAAGAAAATAAAAAAGAAAGAAAGAAAATTTTTATTGACCTTAAACAAATATTTACAAAAACAGAACACAGCAGGACAGGCCAACTTGGTCCCTGCCTCAGCTTAATACTACAGCAACACCAGGGTTGCTGCAGCGTTGATAATTCTGGCAGGGCATAAGGTTGACGGGACATTTTATAATATCATAATAAAACAGAAGAATAAGAGAAAAATACCAATTAACATAACAAAATAAAACATAAATAACATAGACTGAATGGTTACATTATCTAAAGCCTTTAAACAAATGAAATTAATTAAAAATATAAAATAAAGTAAAATTAATCTATGACAAACTAGAACATAAAGAAAAGCCAAACAATAAAAAAACACAAATAAATAATAAGTTACATTCATTCGCTAAACACTAAAAAAGTTTGTTACATCTTTATGTTTATACAACAAGAGATTAAATATTTAACAATAATAATAATATCCTTTACTGTTATACACCATACGAAAGACACAAGTAAATTAAAAACATGGTAGAACGTACACAATATAGGCGCCCTTATTGCTAGGTAGCGATCTCTTCCAGGCAACCCATAATAGAAAGATAAATAAATATGAAGGAGAAAAGGAGGGGTGTAATAGAAAATAATAATAATATCAATGGCAGAATATATCTATATCTAAGGAAGGAAAGAGAGAGGATGAAGGAAGAATTAAACATCATTGTTGGTATAGGAAATAACACCGAACTTGATCCCCAAAACGATTACTCGTTTGATTATATTCGTAGACAAACCTTAATTACTTAAGGTTTGTGTACAAATATTATATAATGCGGTTCAACTAAGAATAGAACCGACTGGGCTTCATATTGTGATGTCACAGCTGTCAATTCAAACCAAATAGGTAGAGTGAGCAAATAAAAGTTTTTATTTAATAAAACTTATTTACTAAGATTAAGTGAGAAAAAGCATCAGATTTTTAATAACATTTATTTAAGTACTAAGATTGAGAAAAAAAACACCAATTTTTAATAATATTTATTTATTAAGACTGAGAAAAAAGATTATTAATCAGAATCTAGCTCTTCTATTCCGCTCATCTCTGCATTACCGCCGGTGTAGTTATGAATAATCACTATGCACTATTACTAGGTCACAAACAAACATGCATCCTTTATGTAAACGAAAGTTTGAAATCGAGTTTCTGAACGCAACTTAAAGTGACATTTGGTTGACGATTAAGGTTATCAACCATTCATTGCCAAAGCTCAATAAGTGAAAAAAAAATAGCAACCGATATTAATTATCAGTATTTGTTATTGTTTGTCTACAAATGTTTGGTTTTTATTCTTGAATTAGCGGAGTGCTACAAAAGGGTTCCAGATGCTTAATTATGTGATGAATACCAGCATTTGTACTCCAGTCATGGATGTCTAATATATATTTCTATATAAATATACTTATATATGTACTGTATATGTATTCCATCCATTACCCTAGTATCCCATTACACAAGCCTCACAGTGCTTACTTTGGGGCTAGGCTAATTGGTGTGTTAGATTTTTTTTTTATATATTTTTTTATTATCATCACACAGGCGGAGCATCAGGCGTAGCGGGGCGAGCTCTGGCCAAACTGTCAGTGTTATGTGCGGAGCCGCGCGCGGCAGACGTGCGGCAGATGGCGCGGAGAGCGCTCGCCTGCCTGTACGACTGCAACCCGGTGCCGGTGAGTGCCGGCGACATATAATCTAATATATAAAATTCTCGTGTCGCGGTGTTTGTGGTTAAACTCCTCCGAAACGGCTTTCCCGATTCTCATGAAATTTTGTGTGCATGATGGGTAGGTCTGAGAATCGGACAACACCCTAAATTTTTTTTTTTCAATTTTAGATATTTTTTTTTAATTTTTTTACAATACATCATACAAAAATACATACATCCCTAAATTTTCAACTTTCTACCACCAACCCCTATTTTTTATGGCGGTACGAAGTTCGCTGGGTCAGCTAGTAATAAATGAAATAAAAAGCCTTTTATTACCTTGGTACAATTTGACAAAAAAAAATTTTTTTTGACGGCGACATACACCAACGATATTAAATACCCTAGAACCCGAAACCTGTCCAAAAGGTACATTGTACGATCCACGGAGCTCCGTAAGATGATCGCGTAGTCAAAAACAATAAAAGGCATTATTTAAACATTGAAAGTCACCTTTAATGCATACTGTTTAAGGTGTTAATTAAAACGCATGCGTCAAATGCTTCTGACAGTTCGAAATGCAAGTTCGTAAAATTTTACGACTTATTGCTATATGCGGAAGAATATAGACCTTTTTTCTTTGACTCCACGCGCATTTCTGAATGCGCTGTTGGCAATATAGCAGGTACGGACCGCGAGGAAAAGAGACGGCTATACGGCGACGTGTATTCGACCATGCATTTGAATATCACAAATAATTTATATTAAATCAGTTTATAGTAAGTATTAGAACAAAATTTGCTACAAATGCGTTAAATTAACAAACATCGATTAGATACCTGTCGAAAAATCGTCATTTTTTGTTCGGTAAGTATTTTTTTCGCATTTTTTCACGGGGCTCTGTGGCATCTTGACTTTGTAACGGTCCGCGCGTGACTGTAAAACAAAAAGTGCTTAAATGGTGTTCAAGCACTTCTTGATTGGGACACATTAGCGCTCGTGGTGTATCTAGGGTATTTAATATCATTGACATACATACACTAAACATTACAAGGTGGGGCGGTAGCCATCATCATGGGTGGTTTTAAATGGATGGCTACTTCATCATTGTGAAGAGGGGCGACAAGAGTAAGCAGATAATACTCTCGTGCCTTTACGACTGCAACTCGGTGCCGGTGAGTGCCGTCAGCATAGCCCGTCATGGCCCATCATCGTGAAGAGAGGCCATTACGTCTGTAAATAATTACAGAACAAAACGCAAACTTATCTATATATATATATATATATAAAACTCAAAGGTGACTGACTGACTGACATAGTGATCTTTCAACGCACAGCCCAAACCACTGGACGAATCGGGCTGAAATTCGACATGCAGGTAGATCGGCAATGAACAGAGGGATTTTGATCAATTCTACCCCCAAGGGGATAAAATAGGGAATGAAAATTTGTATGAAACTGTCAATTTTAAACCGATCGGGATGAGACTTTGCATGCAGGTATAAGAATAATCATAGATGAATTTCATTGTGTATAATACAAGCCTAAGAACAAAAACTGTAGTCTACACTTCAGCTCTACACCGAAGCGAAGCGAGGGCGGGCCGCTAGTCATTTAATAAAACATTGTTTAAAACGATTTAGTGCATTTTACACGATTCTTTCGGATCCTTCACAAGCTCTATGGTCTCTTCTCTAACGACCACAGAGCCTGTAACGAATCCAAAACGTCAAGGATAATATTAAATTTAATAAAAAAAGTGATTTATGTTAATAAATATCTATTAACATATTCGTTTTACCTTTGTTTTATCAGTTTACGGCGCTCATGAGCGAACTACCCGCTGAAACTCAAGCTTTAGTCAACGGCGTGGTACAACAACACGTGCGTCGCACATCAAGCAGTAAGTATAAAGAATTCCATCATCATCATCTTCAGCCTATTAATGTCGCCACTGCTGGGGCACAGGCCTTCCCTATGAATGGGATAGGGATATTGGGCCATGACCCACCACGCGGGCCCAGTGTGGATTGGCGGGTGCTAACGACTGCAGATGCAGCCGGGACCAACGGCTTAACGTGCCTTCCGAAGCACGGAGGAACTCGAGATAAAAGATTTTTAGTCACCCATCCAATGACCGACCACTGTGAAAGTGGCTTAACTTATTAACGATCGCAGCCGAACGCGCTAACCATCTGCGCCATCGAGCCCCATAAATAATTTATATAGGTATATTTCATTAACTAATATCATAAATAAAAAGTGTGTGCATTTTGTCGGTCTGTTGCTTCTTCACGTTTAAAAACAGTGAACAGGTTTTGATGGAATTTGGTATATTTAAAAAGCACATTTGATCCGTTTTTATTTTATTAGGAAAGGGGAGTGATAGCTTAGTATGGGAAACCAGTTTCCATGAAAAGTCACGAGCTTCTGTTAATCACACTAACATTATAAAGGCGAAAGTTTGTGAGTGTGTATGTTTGTTACTTCTTCACGTCTAAACAGCTAGAGCGATTTTAATAAATTTGGTATGGAGTTAGCTGATACCCTGGAGTAACACATAGGCTACGTTTTACTGCGGGAAAATATCCCTAATAAACCGCGGGTAAGACCGCGGGACCCAGCTAGTAAGATTATAAATGCTAAAGTGAATTTGTTAGTTACGATTTCACGCCTCAACTGCTGAGTCATTTATGATGAAATTTTGATATTGAGATAGATGGTAACGTGGAGACGGTTATATACTTTTTCTCCGGAAAATATAATTTGTAGGAAGTAATGTATGTATAAGATGAAAGTTGTTGTAATTTTTCTACTTAAAGCTGGCAGCGATAGCCCACTGCGTACAGTAAGCAGCACAAGTAACGCGCAAGCGGACGACGTTTATTCACGTATAAGGAAAACAACTTCGGAGATACATACGTACACCGCGCAACATTCCAACGGTAAGAGACCTCTTGTTAACGTAGAGTTGAGAAAGAAATTAATAGGTGAATTAATAGAGTCTACTAAAGGGTCTGAGTGAGTGAGACACTTAAGTAGACTGAGACAGTATATAAAACGTGCTATTTCACCTTTTTTGCTTCCTGCCTGTAACTCCTATTTGTAATGGATTTTTATATCCAAGGTGTTGAAGACATAGTTCTCACATTTAATTTTCTATTGAACAGCAGAATGCGGTAACCACATGTCGAGTAAAGACTCTGGCATCAGCCAAATGTCGGACGCTACTCTGTCAAATAATAAGGGACTAAATGGACATTATAATGCGTAAGTATCACAATATTTATCATTAGCCTATTAATGTCCCCACTGCTGGGGCACAGGCCTTCCCTATGGATGGAATAGACCAACTCTGGGGTATACCCTTTCCATTAAAAAAAGAATTATCAATATCGCCCAAACTCTAATAAGTTCATCATCATTATCATCAGCCTATTAATGTCCCCACTGCTGGGGAACAGGCCTTCCCTATGGATGGAATAGGGCGTTTGGGTCATGACCCAACATGCGGGCCCAGTGCGGATAGGTAGGCGCTAACGACTGCAGATGCAGCTGGGACCAACGGCTTAACGTGCCTTCCGAAGCACGGAAGAACTTGAGATAGTGAATTTTTGGTCACCCATCCAATGACCGACCACTGCGAAAGTTGCTTAACTTCAACGATCGCAGCCGAAAGCGCAAACGACTTGCGCCATCAAACTCCTCAATCCTTGTGCTGCTTACTTTTTTATTTTTTTTTTATTTCAGCTGTTTGTAATTATATGATTGTGTTTTATTGGTTAATAAAATGATTCTCTCTCTCTCACACTCTATCTCTCTTTCTTCTTAGTTTGGATGGGTAAATTAAGTGATTGTGAGTGAGTGAATAAAATCATCTTAAAATGTTATCACCCTATTGAATTTTATAAAATTTTCAATTTTAATTTGTATACTTTCATTATAATAGGGATGATGACTAATTTTTTTTCTCAGTTTACCAGGTAGATTATCAAAAAATATTGGACACGTATTTTTTCTTTTTTCGCATAATATAAACATTGCAGAGATATATTGATTTGAAAAGCATGACGTCACTTTTTGTACAATTTTCGCTCAAAAGTGACGTCACGAGCACCTACTCCCAGACTTTGACGCGCTATAACTTTGTCATTTGTTGGTTGATTGCCCAAAGAAATAATACGTGTCCATTATTTTTTGATCATCTAACTGACGGACTAAATAGAATTTCGTTTACTGTACCCCTTCATCACCCCTATTTGCAATGCCCTTGCAGGGCTCATGTTTGCGAGCTGTTATTAGATTTAATAACTTAATGTTACCAACATGAAGCAAGCAAATATTATGACTATTCAAATTCAAATCATTTATTATTCGGATAATATAGATCCATGTGTTAGTATACAATACTTAATACTATGTTAGTAAATTATATTAAAGACAGATATAACTCCATTTACAAAAATATTTCTCAGTGGACAGTCCCCAAGAGCCACTAAATCCCTCACAACTCTACTGCGGCTACCACAAACCCGCTGTAGCAATGAACCTGCTTTTTTGCGCAAAAGAGCCGGGAAACTGTCGACCTGCGCATCTGCGAACATTCCCGAAGCACTACAATGGTGTCGATTCTGGCACGATTCTCTAAATATAAAACTAAATTTGACATCACCCTGTCCTTTTCAGTCTGTATAGAGAATGACAGAGATACACTGTTGTCAAATTTAAGTTAAGCTTTAGAGAATCATGCCAGAATCAACACCAATATCGCGGCAGCCGCAGCAGTGCCCTGAAGGCATTATTGTATTGGACACGGAGGACATCATATGATTTTCGGGTAAAATTAACCCATAGGCTGCTCGAGTAGAAAGATGTACAAAAAGCCTTATTAGACTATGACTATGATTATGTTGTTATTTCTCAGTGGCGACGTCTTAGCGCGAGCGGCATCTGCGGACAGTTCCGAAGAAGCGAGCACCAAGGAATCTTCACCCGTGCCCGCGGCTTTAAGACTGGATCATGGGTTAGTAAATATTATGCCACACATCCTCTCAAGAACCCTCATATTATAAGGTTTTTATAAGAACACGTTTTAGTTATTTATGATATTAGTGCGGTAAAGTTATTATTACAAACGAGTAGACCGTCTCCGGCTTACCATAGTCATCACCAGCCTATTAATGTACCCACTACTGGGGTACAGGCCTTCCCTATGGATGGAATAGGGAGATTGGGTCATGAACCACCACGCGGGCCCAGTGCGGATTGGCGGGTGCTAACGACTGCAGATGCAGCCGGGACCAACGGCTTAACGTGCCTTCCGAAGCACGGAGGAACTCGAGATAGAAGATTTTTGGCCACCTATCCAATGACCGACCACTGCGAAAGTTGCTTAACTTCAACGATCGCAAACGCGCTAACCACTCGCGCCATCGAGCTCCTCTTACCATAGTCACGAGTTTGTAAATACCAATTCCGTACGAATGTAATTGAACGTTTTTCAACACATTTACGAGTTACTTTATGTAATATATGTAAAGAAACAAACTTTTTCTAATAACAAAAATGGCGAGCATTTTCAAATGGCGTCACGTGCGTTGGTGAAAATTAGAACTATATCTTTCGTCTCTTTTTCTTTTGAGTATAAAATTGAAACACAGGCATAGATTAAAGGTGCTTCCAAGGCGGTTCGACCGAAATTAGAAAAAACCCGTCAAGGATACGCACGGCGCCATGTATGGGAGCGTGCGGTAAAACGTTATACCGCACGCTCCGTTGTATATCCCGTAATTTTGAACTTTCGAACATTGTATACAACCTCCGTGGAGGAGCTCGATGGCGTTAGTGGTTAGCGCGTGCGGCTGCGATCGTTGAAGTTAAGCATCTTTCGCAGTGGTCGGTCATTGGATGGGTGACCAAAAATTTACTACCTGGAGCTCCTCCGTGCTTTGGAAGGCACGTTAAGCCGTTGGTCCCGGCTGCATCTGCAGTCGTTAGCACCCGCCAATCCGCACTGGGCCCGCGTGGTGGGTCACGGCCCAATCTCACTATTCCATCCATAGGAAAGGCCTGTGCCCCAGCAGTGGGGACATTAATAGGCTGATGATGATACAACCTCCGTAAATGCAATTTTTAACAAATGTGTTGATTTCACTTATTTATTTAATACAAGAACAAAATCGCATCATCACACAATCACAGCAATTTCTTGCTTCGCGCTCTTTTTTTTTCTTTTGCATCGGTAATAACAATATTAAAGAAAGAGCATGAGTTATTTGAAAACCTTGGGTGGTCAGAAATGACAAAATGAAATCGATAGCGATAGCCATAGATATACCCTTAGGCGATTAGCCCTTTAATATTAACTACTTTGTCTTTATAATTTTTATTTTTTGAAGCATGTAACTGCTTGATGTTTAAATCTAAAGAAAATATAACTAGAAAAAAATCCACGCGGACCAGGCAGCAGACCAGTGCATTCGCCCGGATTGCGAAGGGTGCGGGTTCGAGTCCCGTCTGCTGCCTGGTCCGCGTGGATTTTTTTTCTAGTTATATTTTTAGATTTAAACATCAAGCAGTTACATGCTTTAAAAAATAAAAATTATAACTATAATTGCTATTTCTTCTTTCAAATGTTTAATACTTGTAAAAGTATTCATTTGACATTGTGGGTTACCTATAATGCGAAGAGATGGCGCTGCCTTGCAGCTTAAGAATGGCTTGAAGAATTTCGACGCGGTCCGTGAGGGCCGTGGTACCATAATTGGTCAGTGCATTCGCCCGGATTGCGAAGGGTGCGGGTTCGAGTCCCGTCTGCTGCATGGTCCGCGTGGATTTTTTTCTAGTTATACTTTGTCTTTCCTTATTTTGGTTAAAATGAATGAATCTACCGTTAGTGATTTGTATTTTCTTTTATATGGTATGCAAAATATAAAGTTGTCTTATTATTAGAAATTTAGTAACAGAGTTGAGTACATATCTTAGTTTTTTGAAGAAAATAATTTTATGAAGCAACTTGAGGTTGGTTACTTGTAAGTAAAGTTTTAATAAACCATCGTGTTTTTTGAAAACTTCATCGTCATTTTAGCCTAATTTGCAAGTGGCGGGCTCAACAAGTATTCCCTTTCTCTTAGTTCTTATTCACTAGTCATAATTTCTGATAATTTCGATACTGTTTATAAATTAAATTTTCCTTCTTCTAAGGGAGTACAATTCTGGCCGTGACAAGATGAAACCATACGAGACGGACGAGAATGGATTCATCATCACCAAATGTAAGTATATTAACGTTAATAAATCCAATGATATTTGTTTCTCAGATTTTCACGCACTTACTTACTCGAACAATATTTCCAACACTCACACTAATTAACCTAGCCTCAAAGTAAGCACTGTAAGCCTTGTGTTATGGGATATACTAGGGTAACGTATAGAATACATATACATTACATATACAAGTATATTTATATAGAAATAAATATTAAACATCCATGTCTGGAGAGTATGCTCGTATTCATCACACAAACATCTGCCCCCACCGGGATTCGAACCAGGGACCTCACGAGTCGGCGACACCATGAAACCAGGCGTACAAACCACTCGGCTATGGACGTTGTCATCGTCGTATTTATTGACTTTTCGCATCCTTTGCAGGAATACGTCGTCAGAATAATGTTGTTTTTTTTTAATCATTATTTCTATGCGTCGTCCTGCAAAGGATGCGAAAATTCAATAAATCAACGAAATCAGTTCAGAAATCAGTGCATATTACCCGTTGAAACTTGTTTTATTTAATTCCAATGATCTTTATTTAATTAACCTGCCATAAACTTATGTAAATTAATTGACAAACTGATACCGTACATTATATTAGATATTTAAATCTAAAAACACACTGCAATGCACTGACCAATTACGCTACTGCGACACCCTGCTGCTATAGAGCCGAAGAAAACTAGAAGAAATTTAACCCGGCCCTTAAGGCCGCGGTACTAATAGGGGATATTCATCATTATGTTGTGTATTTCGGTAAAAAAACTAAATCAAAAACTCTATTTTCAAGTAGCCGCGAAAAACGTATCTCTGGACAATATGGCGTCTCACTGGTGTGTGACCTCACACGACTGTCATTAAAACGTCAAACCTTACAATCTAATGTCACTTTAACCGGAAGTTTACTTGCATGTGACGTCATTTTAGGCTCGACCAATCCCAAGCGTTTTGGGTCACGTGACAAAAGACAAGAAAACTATTGTCTTTATCGGGGGTCGTATTAGTAAAATTATGAATATTTTTTCTGTAATAATAGTAAAAACTCCTGCCAATATTCATTCTAAATACAGATGCTAACAATTGGCACTTTATTTTTAATACTGTCAAATACTCTATTATCGACAGTGCATTGAGTTCGAGTCCCATCTGCTGCGTGGAGTTTTTTCTAGTAAAATTTTCTGATGTCCATATTCGTTTTAGCCGGTCTTCGCGAACAAGAAGTATTAGAAGCGTTATGTAAATTGGACGTTTCTCAAGCGCCGCCTGAGCAATGGGAAAGGCTTTTGTTGGCGACACATGAAATATTAAAATATGGAGATTGCAGGAAACCGTGCGAGTATTTCAAGTGAGTATTATTTTGTATTTTGCTAAAATTAATCAAGAAATTATATAACTGAGTGTGTATTGACTGAGGAGCTCGATGGCGCGACAGGTTAGCGCGTTCGGCTGCGATCGTTGAAGTTAAGCAACTTTCGCAGTGGTCGGTCATTGGATGGGTGATCAAAAATCTTCTATCTCGCGAGTTCCTCCGTGCTTCGGAAGGCACGTTAAGCTGTTGGTCCCGGCTGCATCTGCAGTCGTTAGCACGCACCAATCCGCACTGGACTTGCGTTATGGGTCACGGCCCAATCTCCCTATTCCATCCGTAGGGAAGGCCTGTGCCCCAGCAGTGAGGACATTTTTGTTGTTTAAATGGTTCAAGATCTAAAATCTAATGAAGAAATACGATAAAAAATCTAATAGGTATTAGACAAGTTTTAGAAAACGATCTCATGTTATTTACTTATGTATATGGAGTTATCATTCTGTTGTGTATTTCATTAAAAATGAAAAACCAAATGTAAAACTCAACAAACAAACTTTTCATCTTCATTTTTCCATTTAATCAGTCCTTGGGCCAGTGCTGTACTCAGATCACACGGCAGATCTCCAACGAAAACGTTTCCTTGGAAAATATGGCGTCTCACTGGTATGTGACGTCACACGCCTGTCATTAAAACGTTAAACGATACAATGTAATATCACTTTAACCGAAAGCTTACTAGCCTGTGACGACATTTAAGGCTCCGCTAATCCCAGGCGTTTTGAGTCACGTGACAATAAGAAAACTATTATCTTTTTCATAGGCTTTTAGTAAAATTATTAATATTTTTTCTTTAAAAATAGTAAACACCCCAATATTCGTTCTTAGTACAGATGCTAACAATTGACACTTTATTTTTTAATACTGACAAATACCCTAGCATTATATTATCTTAAAGATATTTATTTGTTTCAGAAATATCGTGCGGGTGGCGTTGGCCGCTCTGTCTATAGAAGAAAATTCGGGCGATAAGGAAAACTCGGAGAATTGCAACGCTCAACAGTCTTCCGGTTAGTCAAAAGTATATATAAGGATATAAAGTTTCAAAACATACATAAATTTATACTTGCTAAAATTAAAAAATATTTTAATTTTATTCACAGTTATTAGGTATGGCCTGCAGTGTAGTCGTATGTAGAAAGTCGAACTTACCATAGATTTTTTTACGCTCACGTGAATAAAACAAGCAAAAGAAAATTTTCATTGATTTTTAGATTTATACTCTATGAAACAGCAATCAAAATGTGAGTGGACGTTGTATTGGTAGCGACATGATTTTTTGTAAATTTTGCTACTTCTATTAAATGCTGATGAGTTTCTTGCGAATATTCTTCTCATGAGCTAAAAGATGTCCTGAATGGGTGGTAGGAAAAGATATCGGTGAATCAAAAGAGATTTCAGTAAGTCAATTTCAATAAAGTAAAAAAAAAACTTATTGAAATTAATTAAGAAAAACTGCGTAGAAATTATTAGAATTACTTTCTTACAAGTCTACCCAATAGATGACGCTGCAGTTACGCTTATATTTTTATCAGACAAGGATAACTTTTGTCGGGTCCCCCAATTCATTAATAAAAAAATGAAATCTAATAAAATATATCTACCTTTATATTTGATATACTCTTTTTGGAGTTTACTCCTTAAGAATCGATTTGCATATATAAGGGGCCCGGTATGAGAAAAATGTGAGGAGTAAAATTTATCGATGAATGACCTCGTTACGTTTTTGGTACGCATCCTATGTCGCCCAACTTTGACAAACAAAGATGACGGATTGACATTAATAAAAATTTTAAAATAACTTTGACAAACAAAGATGACGGATTGACATTAATAAAAATTTTAAAATCTGAACTGAGTTTAGATATTGTTTCTAATAGAGCAATGGGGACAACGAGGTATGGTACAACCAATGATGCGGTATTTTCAAGATTCGTGAACCACGTATCTACGAACGTCCATGTGTCTTATTTTAGTTACCATAAACCACTTGTCACTGTAATTAATAATGCAGACAATGTTGATTTAATTAATATTTTAAAAAAATGATAATAGTGTGATAATAATAATTACATAATTTATCAACATTCCTAATGATATATTTATGCACATCTGAAATTGACTATTGTAAAAAGTTTAATGTAAAATATTTCGTCGATTAGTTATAATAAATTTATATGAAATGAATAAATATATATTTATATATATATATATTATTTTCATTAATTTGTTAATTTACCCTTTCATACAGTATCAATCTTTTTTAAGTTAAATAAACTCTTTTTGCGTCGCGTTAGACTATCGAACTTAAGGAGTAAACTCCAGTCGTATCCAGGGAGCTGACACACACAATGTTTTTGAAGTTATACTTCTTTAGCCGCGTTATGAAAAAAAATGGGTGCGTGTACTTATGTAGGCGCGTGAGAAGTTATCCTTCTTTGGCATCGTTTAAAATTAGTTTTTAATTGCATGCAAATAATTAATTACAATAAATTAATAAAAAGTCTGGAAAAGGACGAAGTCAATAAAGTTCAGTTTTAATTTGAAAAAATAAACAAATAATCAAAATATTCAATTAAAATCGCTACTGAATATAATTTATTAGAACATATGTGATTTGCACTTGTATGAAACTCAAACACGTATTCCGAATATACAAACTAGAAACATGTGGATAAATATTATAAATATGAATACCTATAACTGTTACTTTATTACAAAAAATAAAGATGTGGTTTTTGGTTCTACTACACCAATGGTCAAGAGATGGCGCTGTAGTCTCCTGAATCGCGCTTTGGTTCCGTTGTTCCAGATTAATAAATACTTTTTGTTACTTTATTACAAAAAATAAAGATGTGGTTTTTGGTTCTACTACACCAATGGTCAAGAGATGGCGCTGTAGTCTCCTGAATCGCGCTTTGGTTCCGTTGTTCCAGATTAATAAATACTTTTGATAGGCCTTCACAATGCAGTCGTTAGCACCCACTTAATAGAGATTCTATTTCTATTTTGTTGGTAGATTTTCTTAATGTGCGGTAAACACAAAAGTAACGCATGAAGTTGGTCGCCAACTTCATTATGTTAAATTTTTTGTTACAGTGATGCGCGCGCATCTTAAAATTTCACTCTCATCAATTTTTCATAACGCGCCTAAAGAAGTATAACTTCAAAAATTATGAGAGTGAAATTTTCATCACTGTAACACAAAATTTTAACATAATGAAGTTAGCCGCGGGCGCGTTATTTGTAATATTTTATTTTCCAAGTGACCGTGGGGCAGATTTGAACAAAGCAAACAGGGCAGATTTGAAATGAAATGAAATGAAATGAAACGAAACGAAACGAAACGAAACGAAACGAAATGAAATTTATTCAGTCTAGGCTGTTACAAGCACTTGTGAAGGTCAAGAACACAACGTGTTTTAGTTACTAACAAGTGCTAATTACATATGGACTAATAACTTAAATTCAGTAGTGATTTTAATTGAATATTTTGAATATTTATTTAATTATTCAAATTAAAACTGAACTTAATTGACTATGTTAACTATCCTTTTCCAGTCCCCTTAATATTTTATTGTAATTATTAATTATTTGCATGCAATTAAAAAATATTTTAATGATGCTAAAGAAGTATAACTTCTCACGCGCGTACATAAGTTACACGCATCCATTTTTTTTTTATTAGTCTTTATTTTCGCAATACATAAATGTATTGAAAACACTATTTGATATGAATTGCTTTTTCATTTTATGAATAGCTGTTTTTCCATATATGTATTTATCAAAACTACCATTTTAAAATAGAATGAATCATATATAATCATTTCTTCCTAAAGGTTGGGGCACAGCCAATGAACGGGCCGCGGCAGAAGCAGTCAAAGTCCTCATATGGCTCTGCAGAAGACCAGAAACAAGACCACAATGGCTAGACTACTTCGATCTGATACTATTGAAGCTGATCAACGCATACGGCGCCTTGAATAAGGAAGTAATGAGGGCTGTGGACGCTGGAATGCCGCATATTGCTGCAGCTTTACCGGCACATCAGGTACGCCTACATCGCGCTAACGAAATTTAGCGGCGCACACATATATCTATATATAAATTTGGCTCTATAGCAGAGCCAGAGCTTACGTCATCCAGTTCTTTCTTAGGATGATCTTCCCTTTAGGTCTTCAGAGGCAAGGGTGCTACATCGCGCTAACGAAATTTGGAGGCGCACACATTTATACGCAGCAGGACCAGGGCTTACGTCATCCACTTCTTTCTTAGGATGATCTTCCCTTTAGGTCTTCAGATGCAAGTGTTCTACATGACACTTACGAAATTTGGAGTCTCACACATATATATAAAGAACAGGACCTGACATTCAGTTCTTTCTTAGGATGATCTTCCCTTTAGGTCTTCAGAGGTAAGTATGCTACATCACGCTAACGAAATTTGGTGGGGCACACATATATACAGAGCAGGACCAGGCTTATGTTATCCAGTTCTTTCTTAAGATAGTCTTCCCCTTAGGTCTTCAGAGGTAAGCGGGATACACTTTCTTATTTTATAATGTTAGTATGGGATTAAGCTTAAATATAAATATAGGAAACACGACCATATTGGCTAGATTACTTCGATCTAACACTATTGAAGCTGATCAACGCTTACGGCGGCTTTAATAAGGAAGTAATGCCAGCTGTGGACACTGGAATGACGCATATTGCTGCTGGCTTTACTTCATCAGGTGTGTACCCTTTATTTAGCGAAAAACAAAACTGAAAATCAGGGGGCCAATCGCCTAGCGGGATTGCTATGTCTATCGCTTTCACTTACGTTTTTTATTTTGTTATTTCTAAGCGCCGAACGTTTTCTTTTTTTTCTTTTGTATTGGTAACAACAATATAAAAGAAAATGAGCGTAAGGTGTTTGAAAACCTTCGGCGGTCAGAAATAACAAAATAAAATTGTAAGCTATAGCGATAGCCATAGCAGGTGTAAACTTCGATTAAGGTCATACAAACGTCCACGCCCCTTTTCAATTAATAAATTTAATTATATAATTAAAATTGGTAAAAAATAAATACAATACAATACAAAACACTTTATGGAACACCACAGAAAACATTACAATAAATACAGAGCCATTTAAATTAAGTGTTACAATGGGCGGCCTTATCGCTAAAAGCGATCTCTTCCAGACAACCTTTGTAAAATAATTGATTAAAAAAAAATATGTATAAAATATAAAGCATATAATTCTAATTAATATACAATAAAATAAAAAATTATCCCTTAATGAACGTATGCTTGTAAGAAAATAGCGCCATCAGCTGATCCCTCAATGATGACCTTGGAAGACCTACATCGCGCTAACAGAATTTGGAGGAGCACACATATATACAGAGCAGGATCAGGGCTCATTTCATGTAGGTGGCGCTGCATGCGAGTTTTTGGGTTTTTTTTAATTCTAATCATTAAATTGGAATATGAGGAGCTCGATGGTGCAGGTGGTTAGCGCGTTCGGCTGCGATCGTTGAAGTTAAGCAACTTTCGCAGTGGTCGGTCATTCCATGGGTGACCAAAAATCTTCTATCTCGAGTTCCTCCGTGTTTCGGAAGGTACGTTAAGCCGTTGTTCCCGGCTGCATCTGCAGTCGTTAGCACCCGCCAATCCACACTGGGCCCGCGTGGTGGGTCACGGCCCAAATCTCCCTATTCCATTCATATGGAAGGCCCGTGCCCCAGCAGTGGGGACATTAATAGGCTGATGATGATGATGAAATAGACATATAATTTACAATTTTGTCCCCAGGTCCTAGCTTTACTCAAGCCAGTGATCCGAACACGTGGCTATCCCACTTCGCTATGCGCCCTGAAGTTAGCCGCGGAAGTTGCTAAAGCGCGAAGTCACGAACTGACCGACGACACCGTGTCGCAACTCATGGAGGGAGTAGGACAGGTATAGTTCTATCTATATTTTTTACTTTAAGAAACATACAAAGTATTGTATGTTTCTGTGCTGTGCTAATAAATGATTGTAATATTTTAAATGTTCATGTGTGTATTTGCACCATTTATAAAAGTGCAAAATCCTTATCAATTCATTATGGGAAACATATAAAAAACGCGACTGCCCTGACTATTATATATTCTTCTTTTTCTTGATTTTTATCTTATACTAGCTGTGCCCCGCGGTGTTACCCGCGGTTTATTAGGGCTATTTTCCCGCGGTAAAACGTAGTCTATGTGTTAATCCAGGGTGACAGCTAACTCCATACCAAATTTCAATAAAATCGCCCCAGCCGTTTAGACGTGAAGAAGTAACAAACATACACACTCACAAACTTTCGCCTTTATAATATTAGTATGATTAGTATGATAATATTAGTATGATATAAAATTCTCGTGTCACAATGTTAGTTACCATACTCCTCCGAAACGGCTTATAGGTAAATCTCGGTCAGCTAGTATTCTTATGAATCTCAAGCTAATATGCCTTGAAATTTGAGTACGAAAAGCTTATAAGACGAGAAGGTACACTCTGTCCTATCTTTTTTCAGTAAGATTGCAAATGCCACCGCATTTTTCATATCATACTACGACATATACATATATTATATCTTATATATAAAATTCTCGTGTCGCGGTGTTTGTGGTTAAACTCCTCCGAAACGGCTCGACCGATTTTCGTGAAATTTTATATGCATATTCAGTATGTCTGAGAATCGGACAACATCTATTTTTCATCCCCCTAAATGTTAAGGGTAATCCACCCCTAATTTTTTTTTTATAATTTTAGATACATCATACAAAAATAAATATAACCCAAAATTTTCGCCCTTTTACCACCAACCCCTATTTTTTTATGGCGGTACGAAGTTCGCTGGGACACCTAGACTTATATATAAAATTCTCATGTCACAATGTTAGTTACCATACTCCTTCAAAACGGCCTGACCGATTTTTATGAAATTTTATGTGCATATTCCATGGGTCTGAGCATCGGCTACTTTATATTTTTTATTAGCTTAAGTGATAATGGTTGTCCAACTGTAACGTAGTGTTCTGAAACCTACTATGCGCCTTCGCGCCAAAATTCAAACGATTGGGTATTGTAACGTAGTGTTCTCATATGGGTTAGGAGGAATGTTATCCCAGGAAATTGATAGAACACTATGTTACACACCCCTAAAATTTTTTTTGGATATTTTTTTTTAATGTGGTATTAAAAAATACGTACAACCCTAAATTTTCTCTTCTACCACCTGCCCCTATTTTTATGGCGGTACGCAGTTCGCTGTTTCAGCTAGTGTAAATATATATTTATCCCTACAGTTGGCCGATCACCAGAATTCTGCAGTAAGAAAAGCTGCCGTATTCTGTATGGTGGCTTTCACATTCGCATTGGGAGAGACGCGGATGCAACCGCATCTGAAGCATTTGTCTGTCAGCAAATACCGATTATTACAGGTAATATATTTATATCATCATAGTCAGTCAATGAGGAGGTCGATGGCGCAGGTGGGGTTAGCGTTGTTCGGCTGCGATCGTTGAAGTTAAGCAACTTACGCAGTGGTCGGTCATTGGATGGGTGACCAAAAATCTTCTATCTCGAGTTCCTCCGTGCTTCGGAAGACACGTTAAGCCGTTGCCCCGCAGTCGTTAGCACCCGCCAATCCGCACTGGGCCCGCGTGGTGGGTCATGGCCCAATCTCCCTATTCCATCCATAGGGAAGGACTGTGCCCCAGCAGTGGGGAAATTAATAGGCTGATGATGATAAGTCAGTAAATTTCCAGACTGCTGGGGCACAGGCTTTCCCTATGTTGTTCCCTATCTAAAAAAACAGCCCTTGCTGAGTTTCTGGCCGATTCTTCTCAGTACAAGGTCTCCCGCCGTAGATTTCCCCACTCTATTCTTATACCTCTATGGTAAAGACCTCCTCCATTCCATTTCTTCTCCAATTCAATATATATAAATAAATTATTGTCCAACAGGTATACATAAGCAAACAGCGTGAAGAACAAGCCAGAGGAGGTGTTTCGTAGCGAAGGCGCGCGCGATCCACCGCTACTCAAACCGATTCCTTAACGTAAATACCACTACGATCGACTATCCAGTGTGTACTAATGTACTACACGTACTATATGTGTAAATTCTACATTGAAATCTAGGGAAATCTTTATTTAAAAGGGTTAGAAAATGGTTGGGTTTGTTCTCTACTGTCGAATGTTACTTTTTTGATGTTTTTTTTTTCAACTTTTTTCAGGGTTTTATTTAGTTCCCTGGGGGCCAATCGCCTGACCAGTTTGCTTTGGAAAACGCTATCGCTTACGATTTCATTTTGTTATTTCTAGCCACCTGAGGTTTTTAATGCCTCGCGTACTTTTTTTTCTTTGGCATTGGTAATAACAATATTAAAAAAAATGAGCGTGAGGTATTTGAAAACCTTCGGCGGTCAGAAATAACAAAATGAAATCGTAAGCGATAGCGTTTTCCAAAGCAATCCCGTAAGGCGAATGGCCCCCAGCCCCCCTAGCATGACTAACAAAACGCGATATGATAAAGCGATTTATCGACACTCAACTGTCAAACTCCATTGTAGTTTGACAGTTAATGTCGATAAATCGCTTTATCATATCGCGTTTTGTTAGTCATGCTAGGGGGGCTGGTGTATGTATGTCGGTCATCAAATATAACGATTTATCGACACTCAACTGTCAAACTCCATTGTAGTTTGACAGTTAATGTCGATAAATCGCTTTATCATATCGCGTTTTGTTAGTCATGCTAGGGGGGCTGGTGTGTGTATGTCGGTCATCAAATATAACAAGTTTAGTGAAACTTTCCGGTTTTTTGATTGAGCTGAAATCTGGTGATTTGTATGTAGTAGTGCATATTCATCTTTATTAAAATCCCAAGAACTCGTTTTGAGCAAATCAGCTTTAAAGTTTTTTCTGCATTGGAAAATAATAAAAAAATCGATGTATAATTTACATGTTTAGTGTACGAAAAATTGCCGCAACTCGCAATTAGAGTTGGCATGAATATTGAACTAATGTCGATGTCATCTTGTTATTGTTATAAATATTTCGTAAATTTTTGTTTATACGCTCATAACATTACTTTTTCAATGACACGTCTACTAACTCGAGAAACACAAGCATTAACTGGAAGCAACAACAGTTTTATCGTAAATCAATATATCGATAATTTCAACACTCTAATCAGAATACCGACTATCGATACTTGCGTAACACTAATTGCGAGTCTCAGCCCTAGGTAGTCGGTTGTAACCGCGTTAAGGAACATTTTCTTCTTTTAATTGTAACTAAGTCGGTGTAAATTTGTAACCAAACTATATTGTTAGCCACAATGCTATTAAATCTGCTAACACCCGAAACTATTAGAAGCGTTTTTAATAGCTCACGACACAAAAGGACTTATCTCACACCGATAGTTTTATTGCATTCTCGACCCTGTTGCGTTGTAGTTAAAGACTGGTTTCGATTTTTGTTTGCGACGCGTTTAATGTTCTATATTGTCATTCGATTGCACATGAATCTAGTCTGCAGTAGAGTAACTACTATGTAACGCGGTTGACTGAGAAATCGCTCTTATTTTATATTAAAATCGGTATAAAGTCCTAAATACAGTGTGATTTATAGAACAATAAACTGCGCGTACGCATTTCTGTGAATCAAGAAAGACATTTTGTGTTAATAAATTTGCAGTGGAACACGCGCGTCGAAAGATATAAGTAAGGATTAGTATAAGGTCGATGATAAATTGGGTGGTGTAATTCTATGGGTTTGCTCACACAACTGATGAAATTTGACATTGGAATGTGGTTCTTAAATATATCGCTTTAAAGTGCGTTATGCTCTAAATCTAGTGATGATTGTCATATGTAAACGCGGTGAAGAGAGTTCATGTCTGTTTCCTTGATAACAGTACCCCTAGCACGAACGAATATCGAATTCGTATCGTTTGCGAGTCCGAAATGTCATCGTCAAATGTGTACTGATTTTTAGTTCTCGTTACGTACTTTGTGCCGCTGCTGTTCAAGTTTCCATACAAAATTTGACATTGACATTTCGGTTTGCAATCTGTTCGAATTCGATAATGTTTCGTGCTAGGGGTACAGCTCATTTTCCTCTTTTAATACGGGATCGATTATAAGGATTTATAAGTCTAAGATACTTGAAGCCGTTCTCGGAAACTTCAAATTGATTTAATGCTTCATCAAGTCCCATGTTGTCTCATTATATTGTTATCGCAAAAAGGTAATAGCATCAACTTTAGTGAAACTTAAAAAAATATTGTAAATAGTTAAATACCCGTTCAGGCTTCAAAAAATTCTATATTCGATTTTGTATTAATAAGGCATTGAAAGAAATTCGGTCTTGGTACAATAAAGATTACATATCAAAGTTGAACGTTCAAGTTGCGCCATTAACATAATTAAGTTAATATTGGTTTATTGAGCTATATTTTTTTTATATTGTTTTAAACTTTCATGGTCACTTACATTATCGTAATATTAGATAGAATAGATCATGGCGCTTGCAACAGTGCCGAAATATCGGAAAACTCGCTAAATACAAGGTACATGGTAGCAGTCCCATAAATAACTTATATTACTATCATATTTTGTTTCAAAGTTTCATGCTCACTTACATTATAGCAATTGATTTCATTTACGAGATTGCTATACCTTGTTTTTTGCGAGACTCCGATATTTCGGCACTGTTGCAAGCGCCACGATCACAGAGTAACTCAGACTTTGATGATTTTAATAATTTATGTCAAATTATTATAAAAATTTGATGTCTTGTTGATGAAAGCTTTAACTAAGAACCAGTTTCAATAAATCGAAGCTCCAGTAAGAAATAAGTGTCACGCACTAGACGGCCACGACCACGACCACTGGCTGCAACGACCAGATTAGGGAGAGAGAGAGGGAAAGAGAGAGAAACATTTTGTTGACCACATTACATCACAAAAAAACATACAAAAAAATAACATTTTGAAAATTATAGGTAGGTAATGAAAAAAACATATTAATTACATTATCATTTGTGGTCAATCAGAACCTTGCCAGATTAACTATAGAAATCATACATTTCTAAACGTCGTGTACTTGGCCGCAACGGCAAACTTTTGTTAATCTGTTCTTTGCAGCCACTGGTCGTGGTCGTAGTCGTCTAGTGTGTGAGGTGCCTAAAATTGCCATGATATTGTTATTATATATTTAAATTCAAATAACAACTGGTGCTTATAAACGGAATCAGATTGTCCTTACCTGTTAATTTAGGTTGAATAATGAAATTCTTCTGTAAAATATTAATTCATAAATATGTACATTAATAGATACATGAACAATGAACCTTAAACAAAAAACCTTAAAAAATATAATATAAGAAGTAAAATATATTACTAAAAGGAGTCCCTTTAGGCAAGGTTCCGAAGATACTGGTATTTAATTAATATTCATTCTACATTGAAAAATTCAATTATTTCCCAAGACCGAGTTATTCTTCTCAAAATAATAAAAGTTGATAAGAAATAAATCAGTAATGTCTTAAATATAGATTCACACTAGAATAAGCTTACGTGAAAAGATTCGGCTCATCGAATTATAGACCCAAAGGCTTGCGTGATATGTCAGTAAATGTAAAGTGCTATGTTGTATAAATTATTTTTTGTATTGTATCGCGATTTTCGTACTAAAGATATTGAAGCCTTTGATTATATACACGCCCGGATAGAGCAATTCAAATGTGTGTGTAGCTTCCAGTATATCTACCATATGTGGTAGATATTTTTTGGGGTGCATTCGTGTAGTTATTAGAGTATCTATGCTATGTATATAATCAAAGGTTGGCATTTGAAGGCGTTGATTCCACTAGTTGATCGCAACATTTCCAATACAGCAAATTAGGACGAAGCATTGTGTCAAATTGTCGTTAAAATAGTTAGGTTTTACTAATTAATAAAAAATATTAACATTAGCTATGTTATAAATAATGATATCACCAGCTCATTCAGTCAACAAGTCGTATCAACGCTAGAAAAGGATAGGCAGTCTCTCGGATTAAGATATTATTAATTTATTATGAAATATGAGGGAGGTTTTTGTTTTGTAGTTTACAATGAATCTGTGTAGTGAAGAAAAGAAAACTGGAGACAGGGCCTTTATCAAAGTAAATTGAAGATATCGTTAGATTTTCATACAAATATAGTTCTTATTAATAATGTATAAAGACCATATAAAAATAACCAGTTAGGCAATTTTTTTTTACTTATTATTATTGATATAAACGTCACCTGTTCAGTCACACCTCATTTGCATTTGGCATAGGTTCAGTCTTATGCTAGCATTTAACATTTCGTATTTGACAAAGCTAATTTGACAACAGTATAATCCTTATCATGCTTTATAGGCAGGGGAGCATTTTAAAATCTGGCTCCTCAAGACTCCACTTCGATGGTTCTTTTGGCCTTAGGTAAAATTTGCCCCTGTTTATAATTATGCTGAATAAAAATAAACAAAGTCGCCACATTTGTCTCAAAAACACGCTTTTGAATATAGCAAGATATAATTATGATACGTATTAATAATATATCGCATCATGGAAGCTGCACCTGAGCAAACAGACGACAAATATTTCTTGAATAACCACTGCTCATAGATTGTTTACAATGTACGTAATTCTGTTTTTCATTTGTGTCGCAATTACTCGGTGATCTTATTGATTATTATTTTACACTAGCATTATCTGTTTGAATTTTCCTGTTTATATACTTTTTCGGAATTTTTCAGTAAATGTAAATAAATAAAAAAAAGGAAAGCAGTTAAATCTCGTTCATTTTGTTGTTCAAAAATATAAATTATTAATGGAAAATAAGGTGACTAATGAATTTTCATACTTTATTAATTAAGCAATAGGACAAAAATACAAATAAAATTAGAAAAGCACAGGTGTCGATTCTGACATGATTATCTAAACTTAAAACTAAATTTCACTTTAGACTCTTCTTCTGCATAGAGAATGACAGGGATACACTGTTGTCAAATTTAAGATTAGGTTTAAAAATCACACCAGAATCGACACCACAATCTTACTAAAAGACAAACTTTATGGTTTATCTTTCCGTTATCAAATGAGAGACAGTGACATAAGTAACAATCAAATTAGATCATGTTTTTAACCAACAAGATACACGCAAAATATAACTTTATTGAAGTTGTAATAAGAAGTAAATTGCCTAACATTTAAAACTACTGTTTAGAGTGAATCGGTGTGGCTTTTTAACCAAATGAAAACTTAGAAGACAACAGAACTATATCTAAAGGCTATCTATAGCTATTCAAATACAAAATTTAGTACCCGAAAGTAATCATGTATTAAGTTTTTATGATAATTATTAGTAACTATATCAAAGTGTCCTTTACAAAGTACCTAATATTTTACAAATAATAATTTTGCACGGGAAACATTTGAATTCCAGCGCCTTTTTTTTAATATTACAAAATGGCGTTTATATTCAAAATGGCTGACGCGTTTGCGTCATTTTTTCAACTTTTTCTGGTAAATAAAGAATGACTTTAAGTTGAGATAGCTCCAATGATTCTCGCGTGAAATTAACACGTCAATTCGATTCTTATAACTGTAATAGACAGATTTGAAAGTGCACGAATTTATCCCATACACAGTTGTAGTGCATTAACTCGTGTGTAGTAAGTTTTTTGAAGTACATATTCGGTAACTAAAATGTTTTTCTACATATAATTCCATAGAGCCCAGCCTTACTCTCAAATATACGAATTAAGATCCTAATTTCCCAAAACTTTCATAAAACATACTAGACATTGCATATGCAGTTATTCAATAAGCATTTATCGTAAAATAATAGCCATTCTATTTTTAATACGTTGGTCGGTTGAAAGAGAGATAGATATGTATATACCCATCTCGTTCATAACAATAACTGCACTTTTGCAACTACATTACAGCTGTATAAATAAATAAATACAGCATTTAAGGAATGAAATTTTCCCGAATGAAAGTATAGCAGTAACAACATAACTATGACACCATTTTCTGCAAAGCACGAAAAATAATTGAAAAGTTTAAACACAATAGACTTTGTGCCTTTAGCATTAGATATATTTCGCTTTGCAGAAGCTGAGTGACTTATGTGCCGCTCTTAACTTCATAAACGAGACTTGAGTTTATATAAATTACGACTTGTTTTATATTCCATTGTTGTTTAGGTACTACTAATCTTTACTGTCAGTTTGTCGATATTCAACTAAGCTCAAAATTAAATCATAACGTAATGGCAGACTCTGTTTCTTTCTGTCATGCAGAAGCGCTCTTAGAGTAAGATAGTTACAAATACCCGCATGCCCTTTTTTGTATTTCATGTTAGCAAAACAGAATGAGATGTTTATTCAAATATCTTCACTATTTAACTAAAAAAAAAAAAAAAAAAAAAAAAAAAAAAAAAAAAAAGTCAACTGAACTGTCAGATCCTCTGCTCATATTTTGGATTTTAAAATTATTATTATGACCCATAAATGGTAAAAAATACCATATTTTTGCAGCCCAAATTTTTCTTTATGACCCCGCATGTGGGCAACCTGAGTGCTGATGTATTTACCTGGAATGTGATTACATAAATTCTGCTATTTTGTTGACATTTCCCCGAACAAATTGTGTAACTAAGGACGCCTTGGACATCCACGCCTGTTGCTAGGTACCCGCTACTACTCAGCCAATAGGAGGCTTGATTTGCTCCCGCGGCCTAGCAACCTTGACGGACCTAGGTAACGACGCATGCGTCTTGTCACCAAAAGAAGCAGCTGTCATATAGACTTTGACTTTTTATGTTTACATTTTAAGTTTCTTTAGTGTACATTTTAAGTTACTTTTTGTGTTTTTAAGTTTTTATTTATTTTTGAATGTATTTAACTATTGTGAATGCAGTCCGTGACCCAATCTTGTGATGGCACGTCGAACGCGACCCACAACTGTACACAGTGCCACAAGTCTTTTAAATCTTTGAAAGGCCTAAAAATACACACTTCAAAAACACACAGGCAATGTATTAGTCAAAACAATTCACCTTTAGACATCCATCCCATTATTCCGAGTGCGCCTACTTATGATGCCAACGATCCAACTCCTTTCCAAACATATCTCAGCCATTTGAAAAATAGTATACCAATAGTTAAAAGAATCCCGCGAGGAGCTCGAATAACCGTTGCTACACATTTGTCACAATTAATCCAGAAATGTTATATAAGCAATTTGACTCAAGACTGGCAGAACCTATTTTTATTTTCATACAGCACACTTCATATCTCAAAAACTGATGAACCGAATTTATCCTTGACACAAAAGATTAAGAATAACTGTGCTGTAAGCTCCTCGCCTTCTCCCGCACCTCTAATCAAACATGATGCCCCTCATAATCGCAAAAAACTCGTTGAAAACAAAATCTGTGACGGAGATCTCAAAGGTGCCGTTCGCCTTTTGTTCTCCAATGACGTGCTATCACCAGATACCCCTGACACCCTTCAGGCCTTACGGACAAAACATCCCCCAGCTCCAGCAAACCCATATTTTC